TAATTTTGAAGAATCCCATATTTTCTTAACCTTTCCATTCTATTGTAACGTATGTGCTCTAATCGCATATGCCATAGGGAAACATCAAAATCATTTGAAGACGAGACATATGCAACTTCTTCCTTTATTTCGATAGAGTAGAGGCCATTCACAAGTTGAATGGTCAGAAGTACATCACCGTGGTCTTTCACAACTAATTTATCACTATAAAAAGTGGTAATAAATCCGGCCTTAGCAGTTCTGGGAATCAAAACCAATTACTTTCTCATTTTAGGAGCATAAAACATTTGCTTTAGGATTAGAATATTTCCATTCTTCATTTTTTAGCGCATAGTCGCTAAGTCCTAGAACCTCAATCTTTTAGTTTCCTCCCATATATATGTGTTGTTCATCCGTCCCCACATGAGTAAAAGTGTGGAAATTATCATTAGTGTTTGTGATATGAGCTGTAGCTCTCGAGTTAAGACACCAATACGTCCCATTGGAGTCGGCTAGCAACGATTCAAATACCACAAAAGCAACTTCTTTGTTAGTTCCAGTATTTTTTTTAAACCGACAAAACTTTGCTATGTAGCTTACATTTTTGCATACATAGCAGGTTCTAGTTTTTGTTCTTTCCTTAGGTTATCTCTCTTTATTCTTTTTATCTCATTTGTTCTTATTCTTGTTCATCTTCTTCCCCTTATTGAATTTAAAAAACGGTTTAGATTTTACCACATGAACTGCCTCTCTTGGAGTTGGTGCTTTGCATGCAACCCTTCTTTCTTCCTCCCTTTGAGTAGAATGATGAGCTCCTCAAGCTTTGATCCAAACCTTCCTCATAGAGGACATATTTTATTTTGCGATTCCGTGAGACATAGTTAGTTCCATCAAACCTCACAATTTTCATGATTTCAAGATTTCAGAGATGAATGTACGTGCAACCTTTATTCTCTTTTTTCCAAAATAAATAGCAAATTAGAAAATAAAAATCCGATGAGCAACAAGAAACCTCGCTCTAATACCAATGAAAGTAGGACTAAGGTGATCTAGTACGCTATATATTGGAAGATACTACAAGTAGTATTTCATTTTTCATTTTTTCTACAAATCCAAATTACTTGAAATTTGGAGCATTTGTAGAAAAAAATAAAAATTGAAATACTACCGGACAAATGTGACCGTACGATAAAGTTTGGATGGTGATGAGAGTAGACGAAATCACTGTTCATTTTTGCCTATAGGCATTGGGAATAGGTATATATATATTAATCACACCAACTAGAACACTTATAATGGTCCTTTACAATGATTCAACTCAAAATAAATAAATAAAATAAATGAGACGGCTCTCACTTTCTGGCACTAAGAACAATAAACTTTATTAACTAAAGAGAAGAGGAAAACAAGACTAAAAAATAATAGAGTGCATGAATAAAAAATAAGAACAATGGAGGATTACTTCAACCGATATTTCACACACTCCATATTGGGTCTCCTCCTCCGGGATGTGGGATCAAACTATCAATATAGATCTTAACATGAAAGCTTTGACAATTATCTCCTTAAAATATGAGAGCTTAAGAACCATAATAAAATAAATTTCGACCTAAGTGGGGTGTACCTAAGATCAATATGGATCTTAACATGAAAGCTTTGGCGGTTATCTCCTTAGAATATGAGAGCTTAAGAACCATAATAAAATAAATTTCAACCTAAATGGGGTGTACCTACCTTTGCTATCATGGTGGGGTGCGCCACCCCTTACAATTTAATATATGAGAGAGACAATTTAGGAGAGAGAAGAAAGAGAGCCTAGAGTGGGAAATGCCCCTAGAGAGAGAAAGTAAGAAGAGTGGAGAGAGAGGCATGTAGAGAATGGGAGAAGAGTCACCGCTATTTATATGGTTTATCAGAGGGGGATGGGGTTCATGGATATAGATCTTGATCTTGGATACCTGTGGGTGAGAGATTTGACTCATCCATTCCTCCCATAATCTAAACTCTTATCCCATCAAATAAGAGATAGGTTTAAATATCAGACACTTGTATCTAGTTAATAAATTTATATTTCTTTAACCAATTAAATACCTCAAAATATATATCTTTTTATTTCAAATAACTAACTCTCATATCTTAAGGATATCTTCAAATTTGAAAAAATAAAATAAAATATGCATGCATCCAACCACAACTCTAAAGTCACACAGACATGATCCAACCACGATTATATAGTGTATAGGGGCAATATCTGTGATATAATAGGCAATGAGATAGGCATGATCCAACCACAATTATATGGTGTATAGGGGCAATATCTGTGATATAATAGGCAATAAAATAAAATATGCATGCATCCAACCACAACTCTAAAGTCACACAGACATGATCCAACCACAATTATATGGTGTATAGGGGCAATATCCGTGATATAATAAGCAATGAGATATATTCCAACCACACTCCTACTCAGTTTAAGTTTCATAAAATTCTTATTACAAGCTCTTATAAGGCCTTTAATGGTAACACTAACCCAATAATACTTATTTAAGATTTCTTAGGTTTATTTTTAGGATCTTTTTATGAATCTTAGTTTTTCAGTATTTTTGGAGATGTTTAGATCACCTAGGGATTTACTTGATTTAGGGATAAATGTGCTATTAAAAATTTGTTTTAATTATAGCTTCTATTACAATTAAGATTTATTATGTTCTCCATCTTCCATTATAAATAGTCTTTCATGTTTTCGTTCCTAGATGAGATATGAGATCTTATTCCCTGAAAAATTTATTTTCATGTACATGAAAACTTTCGAAAAATGTTACGTAAGGTTGTAAAATTATGGTGCACGACAAAAATACATTGAAAAAGGTTGATTTGACGTTGGAGAAATTTTCAATTGATCATCTTGACATGGAGATGTATGGATATCAGAAAATAAAAAGATTTTAAGTCATAAAAATAGTACATCTTGCAATAAAATATTTGGACTTCTCGATTTTTGAGATTTTCATATATTTATAAGGAAAAAGTTTATATAAGGTTGCAACCTTATCTCTACAGCTACGGATGAACCTCAAAAATCTTTCGAAAAATATAGTTTTAATGTTGAAAATTTGACTGATCATCTCAACGTCAAGATGTATGACCATACAAAATAAAAAGATTAAGTATCAGAAATAGTACATTTTACAACATATTATCTGCGCTATCCATTTTCAAGATTTTCATATGCTTATATATTTACTTGATTTTAACCATTTTTGAAATTTTAAATTTTTATAATTAGATATAAAAATAGATTTTGAAATAATCCTAAGAACATCTTACATCAAAATTATATACAATGATAAAATTTAAAGGTGCATCTTACCTCTACAGCTACGGATGCATCCGTATGCCAACTGCACCCTATTTATAAATAATACTGGACTTGAACTATTTTTAAAGTTTACACTTTTATAATTAAAAATACAAACAAATTTTTGGGCCATCCTAATAACTTTTTACACCAAATTCTAACTCACGACAAAGTTTGTAGGCACTGGTACTTGTGATTGTTTAAGGGTGCAAAACTTATACCACTTAAGACAACGTTTCATAACCGCGAAATGGGGTGTAGTATATGAGTTTCCCCTAAAACAATATATTAAGTGCATTTGATAGTAAAAAATAGTAAAAAATAAAAAAAATTTGAAACACTTTTTTTTTTTTTAAGATAATCCTAAGAACATTTTACATCAAAATTATATACCATGATAAAATTTGAAGATGCACCTTACCTGTGCAGCAGATGAATCGGTACGCCAACCGCACCTTTTTTTGAAAAAAGTTTATATAAGGATGCAACCTTAAAATATAGAACTAAGGATGCACCTCAAAAATTTATTGAAAAATGCAATTTTAATGTTGAAAAACCCTTTGATTGATCATCTCAACATCGAGATGTATGACCATGAAAAATTAAAATATTTTAAGTCTCAGAAATAGTGCATTTTACAACATATTATCGACACTGTCTATTTTCAATATTTTCATATGGTTATAGATCTACTTGATTTTAACCATTTTTTAAATTTAAAATATAATTAGATATCAAAATAGATTTTGAGATAATCTTAAGAACATTTTACATCAAAATTATATACCATGATAAAATTTGAATGTGCACCTTACCAATTGCACCCTTTTTGGAAAAAGTTTATATAAGGATGTAACCTTATAATGTAGAACTATGGGTGCACCTCAAAAATATATTGGAAAAGGTAGTTTTATTGTTGAAAAACCCTTTGATTGATCATTTCGACATCGAGATGTATGACCACGAAAAATTAAAAGATTTTAAATATATTATCTACACCGTCCATTTTCAATATTTTCATATGTTTAGAGATCTACTTGATTTTAACCATTTTTGAAATTTAAAATTTTATAATTAGATGTAAAAATAGATTTTGAGATAATCCTAAAAACATTTTACGTCAAAATTATATACCATGATAAAATTTGAAGGTACACCTTACCTCTACAGCTGCGGATGCATCCGTATGCTAACTACACTCTTTTTGGAAAAAGTTTATATAAGGACCCCAAAAATCTATCGGAAAAGGTAGTTTTAATGTTGAAAAACCTTTTGATTGATCATCTCGACATCGAGATGTATGGACCATGAAAAATTAAAACACTTTAAGTTAGAAATAGTGCATTTTACAATATATTATCGACATCGTCTATTTTCAATATTTTCATATGTTTATAAATCTACTTGATTTTAACCATTTTTAAAATTTAAAGTTTTATAATTAACCATAAAAATAGATTTTAAGATAATCTTAAAAATATTTTATATCAAAATTATATACCATAATAAAATTTGAAGGTGCACCTTCCCTCTACTACAGCTGCGGATGCATCCGTATGCCCCCAATTTTTTTTTTTAAAAACTGTGTACTTTGAAGTGAACATGCCAACCGCGCATCCATGAGCGAGCGGCAGTTTTAAAAGTCGCCCGACTTTCGCCCCTAAAAACGTTGTCCCGCGTCGTTTTTAATATTCACTTTCAAGTTTCAATGTAACGTACCGCGCATTCCATGCGGTGAACCGCAACTTGAAAAGTTTCCCGATTTTCACCCCTCAAAAAGTCCCTCTGAGCTTCTTATCTCTGTACCTCTTCTGCGTCCCTCGAGCGAGAGAAAGCCCGTGAAACCCCTCCATCACCATTATTACAGAGCTTGAATAGATTGAAGTCACGAATCAGTGAGTTTGTTTTATTTTATTGTTTATTATGACCATAAACCTTAAAGCAGTGATTTAAAATTTATTTTTTTTCTGATAAACCTCAAATCAGTTTGGTTTTTTTTACTATTATTTTTGCTAATAAATCCGAAGATCATTGAGTTATTATTATTTTTTTTGCTGCTGTTTGTCGATAAATCCAAACGGTTTGAGTTCAGAGAATCTTTAAATCAGTATGCGTGAATTATTTTTTGTTGTTAGTTTTTTTTTGCTGATAAGCCCCAAATTAGTGTGTTTTTTTTTTGTTTTTGCTGCTACTTTTAACTCAACTGAAAAGAATTAATTTTTTTTCTGCAATTCTATATACTATTTTTAGGCTTTAGGAAATTAGGGTTTGCTGGTGGGTTTGGTGGATTCTCAGTCTCTTAACTCTTTCTCTTAGCTCTTTCTGGCATGGAGATGGTCGTTTTAATTCCATCTGACTATCTATTATCATATATTTGTTATTGGTTTTATTGTTTTGATGTTTGTTGGTGGTTAGCTCTTTCTGGCATGAAGATGGTCGTTTTGATTCCATATGATTATCATATATTTGTTATTGGTTTTATTGTTTTGATGTTTGTTGGTGGTTGATCAGGGGTCTGCGATGATTATTGGAGTCATTATTACAGTAGATTGGGATTATATTTATTTATTGATGCATATTAAAAATATATATTTATTTATTGGTTGATTTTTTAATCTGATGCTTGCATATATTTCAACTGGATGGAAGTATTAATTTATTAGCCTTTTTTGCTTATTTTGTTCTTTAATCCTTGGATTTTTATTCGTTTTTTGTTTACATCCATGTTTTCTTACTTTGATTTTCAATAGTTTTAGGCATGTTCTTCACTTGGAACTGGTCCCCGAGTTGATGTTATGGTCTATTACTGTACATTATGTCATGATTTAGGTTCTATATGTATTTTCTGTGCATTTTTATGGTATGTTAAGAGTGGCCGTATTATTTTAATTGATGTTTTTGTTCTGTTTGAAATCAGGGTGCTTGCATGCATTGTCTCTAATATTATGCAGCTGGATCTTATAAAAAAATGTTTTTCCTTGGCACTGTGTGTTGTGTAATGCATCTGATAAAAAAACATTTCTATCTTGGAAACAGAATATTTATTTCCTTCTATTTTATCTGTTTGAGTAGTTCTGATAAGAATGCTTTTATCGTATCTTTTATAAGTCTGCCATGGATTTATTCAGAGCTTTGCATCTCTTTACTCTTTTTGTTTCCTTACAGTAAGCATTACTCTATCTCTATTCGGGTAAAGCAATCATACATTGATTACTCTTGCTGATTTTTTTCTTATTCTGACCCTGATGGTTTCATCTGGTTGAGATTTTGATTTTATTATTTCTTTTGTCTTTGTTTGGTTCAGCATTTAATAAAGAATAGATGTTTGGTTATTATTTGTCTTCTTTTGAAGTAATAACGGTAGTAGATCAGTGTTCATTTGAATCCCTACATGATGATTTGGGTTTTTTGTTTTTGTGGCAAGAGCAGTTTCTTATGTGTCTTTCTTCCATTGATTAGGGTTCTATTCTTCTCAATGTTCCTCTGATTAATTTTATATAGTTCCTTATTTATACCAAGGGATTGTGTATTGGCCATTGTTTTGTTGCCTTGGGCTCAAAATGAGGTGATTCTTGTGGACTAGGATTTGATTTTCAATGCATTCTTAGGAATTGTATGTCAATAGACCTGGATTTTTTTTTATTTAGTATTATTATTCAAAAAATAGACATGGAAACCTTATTTAATTACAAAATGTTTTAAAAAACTGCATTTTGCACATCATATCAATAAAATATATAATAAACAATATTACAGGCAGTTTCCAGCTTTCCCATTGCCAACCAGGTGAAATTACCAGCAACACAGTTTATCAAACAAGGTTTCCAGTTTTCAGCCTATCAATTTTCACATGCATCCCAGAATCTAGGAAAGTCAGCAGTAGGAGTGATTCCTAGGGACACTGCAGTGAAAGTTATCAAACGCCCCTAGGGACGCTGCAGTGAAAGTTATCAAACGCTATCTAAAATTTCGGTGTTATTCGTCGTCCATTTCAAATGAATGGTATAGATTTCGTACATGGTGGAAGTCTATGACATCGTTTGTTTTATAATATTGTCCAACCTAGGCCGTCCAATTAGAATAGACGGTTAGTTGGACGGTGTAGTACAACTTCCTTCTCCCATATAAACTCTTTCCCAACAAAAATTAAACGAAAGAAATGGGAAATGTCCACTCTCTTTAAGCCCTCTCTCTTCTCTCTTTGCCTGATTCCAGCCCTCTTTGTGACAAAGAAGCCCTACGGTCCGTACTGTTCTAACATTAGGTACAAATATCTAAATGAATAATTTAATTGAGGCAGTGTATTCTTTGTAATTTTTTTGAAAGCTCTGAAAATTTTCATGTTCACGATTTTTGTATGATCGAGATGACGTTATCTGTTATTATTTTGGAATGGATGATATAACCGTGTCTTTCTCCTAGTTTCAGCTTTGCATTTTATAGAGAAGCCAAAGTTTTTTATGTACTGTAAACATTTTTTGATTTCTCTCTGAATACTGTGATTTCTCGGTGCAAAGTTTTATTTTGAAATTACATTTGAATAAATTTAATGTAAAATTGGTACCATCGATAATAATAATTAGAATAACTATTGTAGTTTTTCTATTGAAATTTGAGAAACATTGATTCAGAACTCAGCAAGGTCCATTGGGTCTTGGCCATGTCGCGTTAGGGTAAGTTCCAGGAAAACTAAAGAAACCCTTAAAAAAGGCATCATCATCATCATACCCTCTTTCCCAACTAATTGGGGTAAGCTACACGAATCCTGGTATGTTATTTTCCTCTATTAAGGGCCATACCTTTAGTGAGGCCATTTCCTTTTCTCATTGCTTCTAATGATGTCCTTTCGAGCCTACTTGTTGCTTTTTTTGAGCTTTCCACTTGAATTAACTCGCATGTCCTAATAGGTGCTGTATTGGGTTTGCTTTGCATATGACCAGCCCATCTAAGTCTATTTTCTGTCATCTTATTGCCTATTGGTGCCACACTTAAATTCTCCCGAATTTATTCATTTCGAATTGTATTCTTTCTTGTCTTGCTGCTCTTTCATCTCATTTCGGATTATATTTCTTCTTGTCTTGCCGCTCATTCATCTTAACATCCTCATCGCAGCTATACTCATTCTATGGGTGTGTTGTTTCTTGATCACCCAACATTCCGCCCCAAAAAGCAAAGCTGGTCTCACAGCTGTCCTATGGAATTTATCCTTTAGCTTCATTGATATGCAGCGATCACATAAAACTCCAGTTGCACATCTCCACTCCGCCCACCCATCTCTTATTCTATGTGGGACATCTTCCTCGAGCTTTCCATTTTCCTGGATTATTGACCTCAAATATTGACAATGTGCTCTTTTTGTTATTTGTTGGCTGTTAATATTAACTACTTCCTCGTCTCTACTTGTATTGTTATTAAACTTGCATTCCATATACTTTGTCTTAGTCCGATTAATTTTAAAACTTTTAGATTCTAGAGCATCTATCCAAAGTTCTACCTCTAAAAAAGGCGTAAAAAGATAAATAAATGTAAGAAAAACACAAAATTAGTAAACAGCATTGTATTAGTTAGAATTAAGTTTTTTAGATGATTGTGATAGTTTTAAAGACGATTTGGGAACTTTCATTTTTCTTTCCCTTTTTCAATCCTCTTCTTTAGTTTTCTAATTTTTTGCTATTACCTGTTTTTTCTGATTTTGAACTATTATTTTTACAATTTCTTAAACTAATTTTTGGATTTTTTTTTTGGGGCAATACATAAATCGGAGTGGACTTGACCTAGTTACTTGCCTCGGCCAAGGGCCGAGTACCCTGGTCAAGGCTAGTTAAAAAAAAAAAATTTGCTAAGAAATGTCTGATTTTTCTGTAAACTTTTACTCAAATATATAAGAGCTTATAAAATTTAGCAATATGATCACTGATTTTCAGAGGGTTTTCTTATGCTATAGTTTATAGAAAAGGTGACATTGTGGGGATTTATTTGACAGTCCGGGTTCAATGTGAAATTTTGATAAGTTTGTTTTATTGTTTTTTAAATTGGATATGTTGCTCCAATGGATTTCCTTTGTTCAAGGCTTGCAAAATAGGAATTGGATATGTTCCCCAATTCAATGTTAGATTAATTGGGCATATATTTGAGACCAGTTAAGTATAGATATTTGTATCCAAAGGAAGTCTAATTTGAAAGATTTAAAGACAACGTAGTTTCAGGAAATTAAGTGGGACCACTTATTGTCTCAAGATGCTCACAAAATGAGCATGTGCAGCTGCATCTTAACCTTCCAAGTATCCTTTTTTTTGGGGAGTCCAGTGATAGGAATTGAATGTGAGATGTAGTGCTGCTAATTGTCAGCTGCTAACAACTCAAGCCCAAGCTCGATTTAAAGCATTCTTAGCCTAACTGAAATTACCAATAGTTATTATAGAAAGTGAAGATGTAGCAACATACGAGCATTTTTTATTGAGATAGCATATAAAGTAGAGTCCCATCGTTTATTTACATGAGCCAAGCATCATGCCTTCTTAGTAATTTTTTTTAGGGAAAAAATACATTGGCCCTCTGTTACCAATTAATACATTTGGTTCTTAGGGCTGAACATCAGAGTTGAGGGTCCGTTTGACCCCAAAACCCAAATCAAATTTCCCTCACTTTGATATCAACTTTTCTAAAACAAGAAAAAATAGAAAACTTCTTGGAGGTGTATAAGTGAATGCCCAAGGGTACATTACTTTCTTTAATGCTTTTTCTATGATGGTGTTTATGTTGTGCTTTTTTTTTTCATCTCAATTTCTTTCTAAGTTATCCTTTTAATCTTCTTTTTATAGTTTAGTCATATTTCTCTGGATGTGCATGTTTTTTTGATTAGTAGTCTAGTATGTCTTGGAAAGAGCATGTTTAAGTATGGAGCATTATCATACCCCAAATTTACTTTAGCTTCCCACTTAAGTTCTTCTTTGGTTGATGCCTTTGATTCTTTGGTAAAAACTACATGGAGGGAGGGAGGGAACAAAAATCAAAACAGAAAAATGATTTTGTAGTTCAATCATTTGTGAGTGAAGACAGACCAACACTGAAAATCACAAAGAAGAAAGGAAGAAGCTGCCATCATTTATTCTTTCTTCTCCCTCATTTGATACGTCTTTTAATTGTCATTGTTTGTGAGGTAGATAGAGTGAGAGAGAGGGAAATTCCGTTTTTTTTATTGGTTTTTGGATGCTGGATCTCAATTTCTCTATCTTTTAAGTGCTTTTTAACCCAAGATGTTTCATCTCTCTCTCTCTCTCTCTCTCTCTCTCTCTTGTGGATGGTAGAACTTTTTTTAGCATAGGTTGGATGCCAGAAATTTATATTGCAAAGCAATGTCAAATTTTTTCTTGATATGTTTTCAATATAACAAAGATAAGAAGAGAAAACCAATTGCCACATAAATCCCTTATTTAGGGATCTTTTTTAAAGTGATTATTTAGGGAGTTAATAAGTCACACATTTCCAAACTCCCCCTATCCATTTCTTTATTGGCCAAGCAGTTCTCTAAGGAATTTACCTAGAGAATTCACTTCCCCAATCTCTTCTACACCATCTGATGACAGTGAAGGAATCACAGTCAAGAGCAGTGGATCTTGAAAATTGTGTTTTCAACGTTCCAATCCCTGCTATTTCCATCTTTGTTTCTTCTCTAATTTTAGCCCCCAGTAAAAACTTATACTGAGTGTTCGTATCATTCCTGAATTGCCAAAACATTCTTTATAGATTTCAAAAGTGTCGCTGTTAACATTTCAACGCATTTCCATTTTACCATTTTTTTTCACCTAGTTAAGTGCTACTTGTTTCAGTAATTTGACTTGTGATTTTGGGCTTAGGTTAATGAGGGGTGGTTTCACTTCTTTTTTTCTAAAATAAATTTGTCTCAAGTGTTTACTATGGTCATCAACTGGGTGTGGTTAGACGAAAATAGGTGGAGTGCATGACTTGAGGGTATCACCTGGAAAAAATGGATTTCCACGGAAATATTGGACATGTTCTATCTCTTTCAAAGAGGGGAAAAGAAAGTATAGGACTTTCTCCATATTGGATTCTATCTTTCTTATCATTTAATGAAAAGGTAGATAGTGAAAGGGTGATTTTTTTTAATTGTAATCTAAGTGTGAAGTGGGAAGTTTGTGGAGCAAAGTTTGATTATTGTATTGTATTGTATGATCTTGACATTCTAAATTTTCAGGTTGAAAGATGTGTATTTTCTATTAGTTCATTATATTTTAAGTTTCACTACTGGTTACTTAATTTGGGTGTATATTTTTCCGGGGTGGCAATGCAAGTTGCTATTTAGACTGACTTGATTTTCTACTCGTTTAGAGGACAACAGACAAAGGGCTGGAACCATGCCAAAGATAAAGACAAATCGTGTCCAATATCCTAGTGGATGGGAGCTAATTGAACCTACTCTTCGTGAAATAGAGGCAAAGATGCGAGAAGGTTGGACTTGCTTCATTTGTGCTGCATAACTATGAGGGAAATTATATTATAATGCAATGGATTATGATAAACTAGTCCATTGGAGTGAGCTCTGCCATTGAATGGATGGTGATGGAGAGAGTGTGACCCACCGGATTAGGTTGTTACTCCAGTGTTGGTTCACTCCCCCTCAATTCACTGGATGGCAATGACTCCAATGTACTACAGTTCTCCACAACCCATTTAGTAATTCTTCCCTTCTGTCTCGGCACCCCATTATGCTCTCAATTTTGTAGCTAATTGTAACTTGTGTTCTTCTAATTATTAAGAAAAGCTTGTTACTGACTGTCAACACTTTAAAAAAAATAAAATAAAAAATCCTGTTACTGAACACAAAAAGATAGTATTATTTGCCCTATGTATTGATTCATCCTTAATGTTTCTTGGAGATTTTGCATCTTGTAACTTACGGCTTTTTACACTCAGAAATCTGATGTGCATTTTATTTTGATATTTAGCTGAGAATGATCCTCATGATGGTAAGAGAAAGTGTGAGGGCCTGTGGCCGATATTTCGAATAGCTCATCAGAAGAGTCGCTACATATACGATCTTTACTATCGTAGAAAGGAAATATCTAAGGAGTTATATGAATTCTGCTTGGAACAAGGTTATGCGGACCGCAATCTGATTGCCAAATGGAAAAAGGTTAGTCTTCATTCTCATTTGATATCACTACCTTGTTCCTATTTCTTGATTTGTTTATGGGATAGTTTGTATTATTGAATTACTTTATATTCACATGTTTCTTTTATAAATATAGTATTTAAGTGTTTGTATGTCAATATTCTATTTGCATTTAGCATATGGTGTTTTAAATATGTGGATGTTATCTGCTGCTAATACTGACAGTGTAGGTGTAAAATCACAATCTTAAGTTTTTTTCCCTGTTCATCATTACATGAAGCAGTGAAATCGTTGCCTCTGCCAAGGATGAGACTCAAAGACATATGTGATTATACAGATTAGGGTTCCATGTATATTCCTTAAGCATTTTAGAAGCTAGAGCATGCTAAGCAAATTTGTGGTTGACATTCTTATTGAAGGATTTTTTCAATCATCACTATGGGGAGATAGTGAAAGGACTTTTTCTTTACTTCTCATTTGGTAATTGGTAAAGGTCTTATTAACCTTAATGTGTGTTTCTTTCAGATGAAGTAACAATGAACATCGAATACTTGATTTACTCATGAACACCATGATAATGGTTTTCTGGTTTATAGTTATCATAATTGTTGCAAGGATTTTAATTGTATGCTAGGATTAAAGAATAGAACGAAAGGAAAGTGATCTCACTGCAAGCTGATGGCGTATCATAGCATAATACATCGTTAACAAGGGGGATTTTATCGAAAATTTTGCTATTAAGGCTTGCGTTGAGGATTAAGTGCAAGGTGGTGACCAATACAATGATAAGGGGTCACCCAACCACTGCTTTCATATGAAATTGGCATTTACTCATGTTTGGCTCTTGTGAATTTCCAAAGAAAGGTATTCTTGTGTGAAATCTTTTTACTAAAAAAGGGCTGAAAAGGTGTGAAAGTGGGTCCCACATCACAAGGTAACGCTTTCTGAGAACCTTTTCCCTTTGGAGTTTGGACATGATTTTAAAAAGTTAAATTTACCTAAGAGGCCAAGAGGCCTCCCGTTCAAACAAAAAGTGCCACTCTCTTCTCACTGAAACATTTTTCACTCCTCTTTTCTCACCAAACCCCTCTCTCTTTGCGTCTCTTCTCACAGAAAACCTTCTCTCGCTCCTTTGTTTTGATAAGTACAAACCGTCTCTATGCAACTTTCAACCGTCTCTCTTCTCTCCTCTCTCACACCAAAACTTTTTTTCTTTCCTCCTATCTGTTTGACCAAAACCCTTTCTCAACCTTCTAAAGGAGAGAAGCATTTGCTTAAGTTCAACCTTCTAAAGGAGAGAAGCATTGCCTTCAAAGCTCATGGTCCACTAGCCTCTGAATTACTAATTAGATCTAGGTATATTGGGGTTGTAGTAGCTGTATCAGCTCTTTTTTCTTGTATGGGGTTTCTCTGTTTTCCCTTACTAGGTAGCGTTCCATGGTTTCTGCAATTGTTTGCTTTTTTTGAGCTTTTTGTGGCATAGGGAAGCTAATGTGGTTAAAGTTATGAGTTTTTTTTTTTTTGGAGAATTTTCTAGTTTTTCCAGGTGCTGTTTTCAAATAGGGAGTACTTTCTTCGCCCCTTTATTTTTTATTTTATTTTTTTTAATATATAATTTTAACTGTGAAGGTGCTGTTTTAGTTGTTTTTTCCCCATAATTATTTTATCGTTGGTAAAACAATGAAGCTGAAAGGCAGGTTCTATAGGACAACTGTGGACCAGCTTTGCTCTATGGGGCAGAATGTTGGGCGGTCAAAAAACAATGTGCATATAGAAGGAGTGTAGTGGAGATGAGGATGTTGAGATGGATGAGTGGCATGACACGAAGGGATAGAATATGGAATGAATACGTTCGGGAAAATTTAAGTGTGGTACTAATAGATGATAAGATTGGAGAGAGTAGACTTAGGTGGGATGACCATGTGTGGCGTAGAACCCAGTATAATTGCTAAGAGGTGCGAGTTAGTTCAACTAGAACGCTCAAAAAGTGCAAGGGGTAGGCCCAAAAAGACATGTTTGGAAGTAATGAGAAAAGATATGAGGGCTTATGACTTTATTGAGGTTATGGCCCTTAATAGAGCATAATGGAAGACCAGGATTTGTGTAGCCGATTCCATTTAGATGGAAAAAAGGCTTTGATGATGATGATGATGGTAAAACAAGAGAAATATTTGCAGAAATATTTGGAAAAGATATCCCAAAACCATTCGGTATCAGAATTTATGTTATTTGAGAGATCCAAGTACATGACCTCCCTTTGGGGTTGAATGAACCTAGTTTGGAAATTGGCAAACTAAATTACATTATCCTATTTTAAGGTTTGTAACGTGAAATGGAGGCACCCACTTTGAGGTCACATTAAAAAACAATGAATCGAGAGACATATCCAAAAATTTCAGGTTGTGCAAGTTTGCAGGATAGGTTTCAAAAATTAATTCTGTTGGATGATTTGAAGAGATATCCAAAAGAATAAGCTTGGAAAGCTGCCCCAAACTCGGACAGCACGGAACCATTAAGATCATTCCCAACAAGCCCTAAAGTGTCTAGAGTTTTCAATCTCCCTATAAATAAGGGATGGCCTTGCTGCTTACTATAACTCAACTCAAGATCCACTAGAGTCTCCATCTCGTAGATCCACTCAAGTAGTTTCCTATGAAGCTGAATATTACTAAACCATAAGTTCATAAAATTCAGCTATTTCTCCAGTCATGCTATTAAGTCTTGTCAAGTTGCAAAGTTTCCCTATGGTTCCTCTGATCCCACCTTTAATTTGATTAGCTGAAAAGTTGAGCTCAACAAGTGAAGTCAAAATTGAATTACCAATTTCATTAGGGGTATCTCCCTATGCTACATTTGATGCAAGATTCAGAATTTGAATATTTGTTCAGCTTCCTCTCAAAAGCTTGAAAGAATTGACAGTACGATTGTTATCGAGCTAGAGTTAACTCTTCCAAATGTTGAAAGTTAGATAATCCAACTTGGATAAGACGAAACAAACCCCCGTGATACTGGTGAATTTTACCCATTCCTTCTCTACCATTCAAAAGTCCCATCCATTCACTTGAAGCTGATTAAGGCTAGAAAAACCACCAATCCATTCAAAATTATCCAGTGTTAAGACAGCAGCTTGGTCTGAGATTGATAAGATCGATAGACTGCAAACTTGAGAGGTTTCCCAACTGCTATGGAATGGTTCCGCTGAACCCAGCTCTAGAAGGATTTAAGTAACTTAATTCTCTTGAAGAACCGATGAAATCAGGTGTAGGGATGTCTTTAAATGTGTCAAGACTCCAATCCAAATGTCTAAGAAATTTCATTTCTAGTAAGGCAGGGTGTACCTGCTCACTCTAGTTTCAAAACATGTAAGTCTCATCTTTGTTTCAATATGGGGTATGGAGTTCGAGTATGATGACATTTCGTATTTGATTATCATAACTCACTCTTCTCCATTTGCAACAATTGGGTCCTTGCCTTGGAGAAAGCTGATTATAGACCTCACTAAGGTCCGCTTTTAATCTGATATGAGCTTCTCCCTCCAATTTCAAACAATTCACATTTGTATCTCCTCTTCAAATTGAAATTGCTACACAAATTGTATAGTGCAGCCCTATGAATAGAGCACGGAGTTTGCACCTACAAAACTTCCCGATTAGCCCCCCAATTCACAGACTAAACCCTTCGAATCACAGATTGTTTGATAAGGGATTCATTATTGCCTTTCTACTTGCTTACACCAAAAGAAAACTTGTGAATTATTTAATTGAATTGAGATTGGTAGTTCGACATGTAGCATGAACTTTGAAGGGAATTGTAGTATAAGAATATTATTTATAGTTGAGATGGTAACAACAAAGTCAGCATAAGGATTAGAAGAATTCGAAGACAGTTTACCATACAGGTTACCAAACATAGGAAATTGATTACTCTGGGATTTCTAGACATTTACCAAATACAGGAAAAGCATTCATGAGAAACTCTTTCCTGTAAAACTGCTTTAATATGAAAACAAATTTACAGCAGTAAACTATTTCACTTGAACCAAACGTACCCTAAGATTTGCTACAAGTAAAGGATGTTCACCTCTTAATTTGAAGAAAAAGAAAAGAAAAGAAAAGAAAGATGCAGAACATCATCTAGGTTATACATCTGGTGTGGATAAGAAGTCTAGAGAGCATGGTGGTTTATGTTTAGTGATAAGTGTTGGTTCCTAGTTAAATCATTCTGTCGCAGGTTTGTTGGTTGCTGTACAGGAGAAACACACCTTAATTGTAGCTAACCATCTGCCTAGTTGATGAGTTTGGGGTATGTTCACCCATGATTTATGGAGATGGAAAACACTGCTTCCTTCATGGATTTTTGGTATAAGGGGAAGTCGAGAGAGCAGTGCAATTGTTAAAGGTGCTAGGGAAGTTGATTATTGAAGTGGCAAAGGAAGCCATCCTTGAAAGGACAGAGATTGAGCACCTATTTGGTGGAGAAGTTCAGCATCCCTATTTCTAGTGCTACTCGTATTGTATGGCTTCATGCACATAGAAAACAGTTGTGGCAGTGTTACCTAGACATTTAATACTTAAGATAAATTGTTGTCGTGTGTCGACACATGTGTACACTCATAAATACGTGTACCATTCATGTGTGGTGCATGTCGACATTGTTTTTAAATGTGGCCTGCAGCATTATGCAACAACATCATGCGGTATTAAACCTGAGGTGCATCGCATTGGGCTGCATATACACTTTGTGGTGATGTGTTGCGGGCGCATCACCCGCATATGCAGGCGCATAGCGCAATGAGCTCTGTGCCAGCATATGTGGCCTGCCCTTGTGACTGAAAGTTGTCCCCTCCTCCCCCCTCCCCCCCCCCCTCTGTTCCACTGGCACGCTGGAAACCTTATTAGAACCAGTTTTAGTGGTTCTTTGATTATCAAAAACCAAAGAAAAATTCTATTTCGATTTGTCTTGAATCCAAAGTTTTGGAAAAAGAGTTTTAAGAGATTATCTTGGTTATTGATTGATATTATCTTGGGCATTATTTTGAAGGTGTTTGGGTGAAGATTCACAAACTAATCGAGGATTTTCAAGAGCCGAGTAGAAACCCAGAAATCGAAATTCCTTTTGATTATTTGCTAAGTTTTCATTTCCTAGTCCTCCTTTTTGGGGCAATGTCTTTATCATCTTCAAGAATAAGGATCCGGCTTGGACTTATGCCAAACTCAAAAATCTTAAGGATCGAAATTGTGTTATTTGTAATATATAAATATTTATAGGTGGTTTTTTCAGGCAAAAAGAACACCTAGCTGGTATTAGTGGAAATGCTAGAGCATGCCGACATGCAACCGATGAAATTAAAAGGGAGATTAGGAAATACATGGACAGCCTTGAAAAAGAAAAAGAAAAGAAGAAAATGAGACAAAAAGAAATATTGGAGGAAATTCAGTTATTGGATGATGATGAAGATAATGAAGAATTTGAATTAAGCATAGGTGGTTACAAGGGAGACGGTTATAATTATTGGCGGTAAAGTTTGGCAAAAAAGACATCTCTCTTAGGGGCGAATGAATGCATTTTGTACAACTAACCCTGAAGTAGTGGTTTAGGAAAGGAGAAAGAGGGGGGAGGATTAACTTGCAAATCAATAGAAGAAAGAAGAGGAATAAGGAATGTAAAAAAATACATTGCAAAGTGGTTTTATTAGGTTGGTATTGCTCTCAATACATAAACCTCGATAGTGTAAATGTTGTAGTTGCAATTGGGCAATTTGCCCCAAGACTCAAGTCCCTTCATTACATGAGCTTTGGGAGCCTCTTTTGAAATATTTTGTAAATAGAGCTAAGAAAATTTTGATTTCTTAGAAAGAAGGGTAGGAGAAGTATGGGGTGACCGTCATGTGTGATGGACGGTCTGATGGAAACTCTCAGGCATTCATTAATTTTTTGTTAACTCTCCTTCAGGTGTTTTTTTTGTGATGTCTATCGATGCATCAAACTAGTCACTTGATTCTGTAATCTTTATACTCGTGTGAGTTGATGAATGAGATTGTAGACTTTATTGGGGTGGAACATGAGGTATAAATTGTCATTGACAATGGTGTTTGGCATATGTTTTGGACTCCTTGTACAGCTCACTGCCTTAATCTCATGCTTGAGGACGTAGGTAAGACATCCAAAATTAGTTGGGCGATTTCAAAAGCTAAGTTTGTTATTGGTTTTATGTATAGTCATACCAAAGTCGTAAACCTGATGAGGAGTTTACAAAGAGAAGAGAAGGGAAGAGAAGAGAGAGAGAGAGAGAGAGAGAGAGAGAGAGAGTAGGAGTGGTTAGATTTTCCATGGCATTTCTCACTCTTTGAAGCTTATGCAAAAGAAAAGATGCTCGAAGGACCATGTTCCCTTCTTATAGATTTGGTGTTGGCGGGAGGGATGAGCAACATTGTCCTTAATACATTGTTTTGGAAGCAAATATACTATGCATTGGATGTTTCTCGCCCTTTAGCGAGAGTTCTTCGATTTGGTGATACCATCTGGTCTTAAAGCCTTTCCTATCTTCATATTTCTCAAAGTTTCTTTCACTTCAGATATCCTTATCCTGCAAATGTATTTATGACCTCCGACCTTATTTAAATCCAAGGTCCCTCCCATAGTTGTTGGAGGTGGGAGTGGATTTGTGAGCGGGGTCGATTCGGGCAAAGCCGAACCACCAATGAGGTGGAAGCTCCCTAGGTTAGGATCGACGTCTATATATTCAACAAGTTAATGAGCTAGATCCTAGGATGCCTGGGAGTGAGATCCCAAATCATTAGCATCGATATTTTGACTAGTAGGGATCCAAGCTCCATTGTACATAAAACGAGATCAATACCCGCTAGATCCATTATCATACACCATAGTTTATTACCATTGCCCTAGTTTATGGTACCCCAATTTACTACCATAATGCAATTTAATAATATCCTAAATTGGCTTACTATAATATCAAACAATAGTTTTTTTTAATACCATAATTCTAGTATACCACGATGTGTTATGCATCACAAAGCCACATATTCTAAACGAATAAATTCATAGTATCAAGGACAGGAGCAAGAGTTCAATTAACAGTATAGCTCCTCTCCTTAGAGGGATCACATGTATGTAGACCGAGATCCCATTTTATAGGGGACCAAGATCCCTATTTCTCTAAACCTAGCTCCTTCTAAGATCCTTAAGAGGAACTGTGGGATCGAGTTCCTAAGGTGGGACCGTGGCCTTATCCCCAAGGCTTCTGCAAGTATGGTTTCTCCTAACTGTGCTCATATGACCTCTGACCTCACAAACACACACACACACCCAGGCACACACACATACAAAGACACTTAAACTCTAATTGAAACATCCAACCACCTTGCTAGGATTTGTACTCAGCTCATCGAGGTGAGATCAAGTCCCACCTATTAAATGGGCTGGACCACAAATAATATGTATAATATTATTTTTTTAGTGGCTTATTAACAGTCATGTGCAACAAATTTATTTTTAATCAAATCATTTTTTTTTGTAATGAACTTTCAAATTTAAACTGGATGGTCAAAATGTTAAGTGATGATTTGCTACTTACATAGTAAATATTGTACCCTTTTTTAATAATGACAATCATTTTGTTTGTAATCATTAACTAGTAGTCTAGTATGATCTTTTAAACATTTAGAATCTAGAAAGAAAAAGAAAGAGATGAGGGATAAATAAGATTAGCATGGGTGAAGAGGTTTCAACTTAACAGACGAACAAACAAAAGATGAACCCCTTTCTTAAACTTGTGAACTTCCCAATAAAGACTCCCATCCCTCTAGGAATCACAAGCCTAATCAGATTCCCACTTTCCTATAGTTCAGTATGAGCATCCCTCAAAAAATCCCAATGATTTTATGGCTTCCACGCGAATCCCAATTAGAAAGGAAATATGATACTAGATAAATAACAAACCATTGACAATCAAATGGTGACCCCCCATGAAAATGATACTTAAAGTACCACATAAATGAAATAAAAGTCAAATTCAAGGGATGTTTATTCCTTGACTGTTCAACCCGCCTGCTGAAAAAAAGCCTTCAAGAATCTTCTTATTGATCGCCCTTAGATTTACTAATGAAATTCACATACTCTGACATCATCAGCAGCCACTTGATGTTGGAAAGAATGAAGACTAGTTTCTAGCAGGGAGGTGATAAAGGTATTACAGGGGAGCCATTACGAGTTTCAACTCACTGCATCCATGTTTGCTTATGATGGGATTGATGCTATATATGAAATCCACCTACTCTCCAACATCATCATCAGCCACTTAGAATGGAAGAGGATGGAGATGAGTTTTAGGAGGGAGGTGATAAACTTGTTTCAGGGAGCCATTATGAGTTTCCAAGTTTCAACACACTGCATCCATGTTGCTTATGATGAGCTTGCTGCGACGTCTTTTATCAATTATGTGAAGGCTAGCTCCTTCCAATTGAAATCTATTTCATGCTTTCCAAATGTATCTAAGTTACCTGCATCAGAAAATTTATAGGTTCAATGATGGCCTTTTTCCTCAACTGTTCTTTTCCGGCGTTTTGCATCTTTTTTCCCTTGTGTGATTTTCAAAGGTCTTACAGCACCTATTATCTTATTTTAAATGTCCTCATCATCATCATTGCCTTTTATTGGGGTTGGCTTCACTAATCTTGGTTAGCCATTCTGCCATATCAAGGGCCATACCCTCAGTGAGGCCATGAATTATTTACTACATATATATTGAAATATCTTATATTTTTAATATATTATATATATATATATATATATATATATA